CAATTGGCAGAGCACAATACAGAGGTAACGGAAATTGTCCACTGCTACCAATATTATATAATATGAAATATCAAAAATCAAATATATACACATCTACTCCATCATAGGGGATGGGATGAGGTTATAAGAGACTTCTGATAGTGGTTTCTCATATTTGATGTCCATTTTTTTCCCTCTGTACCCTCGTAGAGCAATGAGTGTGGTTCTTAACATTGCGAATCTTATTCTTGTCCTCACATGTCTTACCACATCGCAGTATAGTATAGTACTAGTATAGTATAGTAGGGCCTTGGCAGTGTTGCTTAAAGAATAAAGGGACTCGTTATCGAAAGGGACTGGTTCGGAACCCGCTTGTACTATCAATCCCAAGGTATGCACATAAATGGGGAAATCCGTGATTAAGGGTGAAATGAGAATTAGGAGGTGCTCTGTCAAAATATCTAAAGTCTTCTTTAGGTACCCTTCAGTAGTACGCTGTAAACCATAGTAAAATGTGATGTATTACAGATTTCCCGATCATTCGGCTGAGCTGATAACATAAGTCCTTGGTGTGCCCCCTAGGATTATTTTTTAAAAATCTTAAACTTTTCAAACAATACATAATTATACAGAATTGAATGCTTCTAAATAAACCCAGTTATAAATGGAGAAAACCGATATAGCCCTAAATTCCACTATCCCAGTATGAAACCCAAATTATGTATTGAAAGAGGGGTAACCAAAACACAGTAGTGTGCAGTAAGAAATACCACACCCGCAATAACATTGGGCCCTAGCAACAAATTAATTAATCAATGAATTAAAACATATAATATTGTATTTATAGAAAATATATCACTCTAAAGGCTCCTTCTCCGAGCTAATGACTCTAAAGTTCCTGATAACATGAACTTTGTCAGGCTCTGCTGTCCTTTTATTTATCAGTTGGTCGACAACTTTCTTGTAGGCTATTCTGTCTGCAGCTGATCTATCAGGAGTGATGTAAACTGAACTAAACCCGTCTACATGTCTTAGTAGCTTAGTCTTGCTCAAGATAGTACGAGCTTGATCTGAGCTTGACAAAATGAATTTCACTGGCCTGACTCGTTCACTTGTGTCCTTTCCAACTCGTTTACATCTCAAAATTTTCGGTTTTTCGTTGAGATGGTCCAACAAAATACCAGATACCTTAGCATCCAGGTTTTCCTCCGTCTCTGGAAGCCCAAAGATAATCAGGCTTTTACTTCGATCATCTTCTAGGGCAACTCTTTTCACTGCAGCTTGGATCTTCTTCGGTGCAAAGGCGTTTTTGCATGTGTTTTTCAACAGAGACGAAAAGGTTTTGATCTCTTTCTGAGCTGCACTTTTCACAGTTCCAATTTCGTCATCCTTCTTCAAAGCTAACTTCTCCTGCAAATCATTGATTTTAGCCATATCTTCTTCTTGCTTGGTGAGTAACTTCTCTTGTAGTTCTATGATTTTGGTCGCATCAGCTATTTTTTCTTTCCTGAACATTCGGTTATCGTCAGCTGTTTCTGTGGCGGATTGTAACAATGGTCCACAATAATTGTTCAGTATCCAGCACATTGTTTCTAACCATTCTGATAACCTTTCTCTAGGCACACTTCTCTGGTTCAGTTTATCAAATCGCACATCATCGTTGTGTTCAACTCCGATTTTACTTCTAATCTCCTTGAAAATACTGTCCGTCGCCATGTGTATCTGATTCACATATTCCGTAAGGAACTGGCCATTCTCAACCATAGCATCATCTACCATCTCAAAATGTTCACTCTGTAGCGGATAAGGCATCGTACACGTTGTACAGAAAATGTACAAACAATGTATACAAATCTACAAAGCCAGAGAGATAATTCAACGCGCACACAGAACTACTGATAAGAGAGCTACAATTTAGCAACGAATGTAAAAGTGTAAATATAAAAATGGTACATGCAGGATTCAAACTGGCTGCTGATTGCAATCTCCATCAAGCATGATACCATCCTAGGGGGGAGGGGGTCAAATCCTCGTTTGAATGTAGGAAAACTTTAGAGAGCACTATGGGCTCTTAGAAGGCACTATGGGCTCGGGTGGAGAGCCAACATGAGAAGATGCACCACTTTCAAGCTGCTTTGAACCATTTGCTTGTCAGTGTTATCATGGTCTTTATTCATAGTTCAGCATTAGCCATTTTGGAGGACTATGATATATTATATGACTGCCTAAGTTCCCATGTATATTGTATACACCCCCCGCGCGTGAGGGCACGTTTTTGCTAGTAATTTGCGACATTACTTTATGGATATCGAATCTCGCGACTTCAACGAAGTGCCGGGGACAAGTTTTCAATAATTCATAAACTTTTCAGTTCCTATCGTTTTAAGCATCGTTAGGGCTTTCCCAGAAACTAACTCTCATCATCCTAGGATAATCATGTGTCGCACAGCACTTGTTTCAGTAGAGAGTGTACTCGCCTTTACGAGAGAATGACGTGTACGTTTCGGTCACCTGCGGAAAAAGGAAGTGAGATATCGAAAATCTGAGATAAACCCGATCGATAAAATCCTTTCAGGTAGGTGCTAGTCAAGGTTTCATCTCTTTAGACATTAAGATGGCTTCAAACACCTCACAAAAAGTTTTCAAAAGTAAAATTTACTCGCGACTTTCAAAAACCACCATAAACGTGCCCTCATAGATTTTTGAGGGCAAGTTTTTGAGCGCGCTGCGTGACTTTGTCTGAGCAACAGCAAGACGTATAGTTACAATCTCGCAACTATGAACAGACAAGGAAAATATTGTATTAATATCTGTCAAAGGAATTTAATGTATTTTAACAACTTGTTCTAATAATGCTAATAACTAATCGATGAACCTCATAAATGGTCGGCCCGGTGTGAGTGTATAGTATGGGTTGTGCTCTGAAATGGGGCGCTGTTATACTTATTGGTTAATACAGCGGCCAATCAGGATCGAGCTGGTTTGTGGCTGCAGTCCAAATTTAGGATCATATCTGATTAGGTACCTAATTAGTGATTATGCACTTTAAAGTAAGATTAACTCGGTATTCACAATCCACATGATTAAATCGCTACATTTTGCAAATCAGCTGATATTTGTAACTTTAAAAAATAGTTGTAACTTATATATTTATACAGGTCCCCGGTTTAACAAGCATTCAGGATAGAAGAACCAGCAGCGGTTAATGACACTAAAACAGAGGTGGAGAACAGTAAGAACAGCAGAAAGAGTGGAGTGAGATAAATATCTTTTCTTTTTCTGCACTGGTTTCTGATACTCAACAGTTATTCAAGCCTGGGTTATGTTTTAAAATTAGATATAGCCAGGCCCATGTCAGTTTTGTTTATGTTCTATTTATCATGAAAAATGATTGTGCTCGGAGTGATCTGGGCAAAAAATTAATGCGAACTTCACGGGGAATCGAACGTGCGACCACTCCGCGAGTAGACCGACGCTCTAGCCGTCACGCCACTCGGGATATACACTGATTAAAATTGTGATGTCTATATAGTGCTTATTTGGCAGAAATTAGTACAGTATACAATCCTCAATTTTGAGTTTGTTATGATTGTAATTGGGAAGTGGGAACATTAAACAACTCTTCTGCATTTAATTGGAACTGTCTGTACAAAGTACACGATAAAATACATTGGGTAATTACGAAGATTGTGTACAGTGCATTCGGGGGCTTTGCTTTTGACTGATTTATTTTCCGGACAGTTCTTGGAAGTTCAATTAAAACCAGTGCAGTAGAAGTGTAAACTTGCATGAGAGTTAAAATGGTACTATTATAATTTGTGTTGTCAGGTAAGATTTCAGTTTTCACTTTGATACATTGGTATGTGATTTATATGCTGATTACAGATTACTGATAAAGATTGTTACATGTACAATTCAGAAAAATGTGTACATCAAATGAGAGTCTAACTGTCTTTTCATTTCACCTCTTAACTGACAAGTGACATGTCAGAAACATGAGTCGTCTTATAATGATACAAACACTATATAGTATATAATAATATGATTTTCTCGTTAAGTAGTCAGCTTGACCTTGGTTGGTTGCAGACAATTGTTAATGTGGATTGTGAATACCGAGTTAATCTTACTTTAAAGTGCATAATCACTAATTAGGTACCTAATCAGATATGATCCTAAATTTGGACTGCAGCCACAAACCAGCTCGATCCTGATTGGCCGCTGTATTAACCAATAAGTATAACAGCGCCCCATTTCAGAGCACAACCCATACTATACACTCACACCGGGCCGACCATTTATGAGGTTCATCGATTAGTTATTAGCATTATTAGAACAAGTTGTTAAAATACATTAAATTCCTTTGACAGATACTAATACAATATTTTCCTTGTCTGTTCATAGTTGCGAGATTGTAACTATACGTTTTGCTGTTGCTCAGACAAAGTCACGCAGCGCGCTCAAAAACTTGCCCTCAAAAATCTATGAGGGCATGTTTATGGTGGTTTTTGAAAGTCGCGAGTAAATTTTACTTTTGAAAACTTTTTGTGAGGTGTTTGAAGCCATCTTAATGTCTAAAGAGATGAAACCTTGACTAGCACCTACCTGAAAGGATTTTATCGATCGGGTTTATCTCAGATTTTCGATATCTCACTTCCTTTTTCCGCAGGTGACCGAAACGTACACGTCATTCTTTCGTAAAGGCGAGTACACTCTCTACTGAAACAAGTCCTGTGCGACACATGATTATCCTAGGATGATGAGAGTTAGTTTCTGGGAAAGCCCTAACGATGCTTAAAACGATAGGAACTGAAAAGTTTATGAATTATTGAAAACTTGTCCCCGGCACTTCGTTGAAGTCGCGAGATTCGATATCCATAAAGTAATGTCGCAAATTACTAGCAAAAACGTGCCCTCACGCGCGGGGGGTGTATATACCTTGCATTGTTTTGACTAAATCTTCTAAATTTATACAAATATAAATGATTGATTTCATACCTTATATTATCATTTTAACTTTAACTACAATTTTTTGCAGATGACAACTACTCAGAACACTGCTTCAGTGCAATGAATTCTGTCACAAGACACTCAAATGCTGGGAAGAATGGATAAGTATGAGAAAATCTGTAAAATAGGGGAAGGTTCTTATGGTGTTGTCTTCAAATGTCGCCATAAAGAGCTCAATCAAGTGGTGGCCATAAAAAAGTTTGTTGAGAGTGAAGAAGACCCATTAATCAAGAAAATAGCTCTGAGAGAAATTCGTATGCTCCGTCAGTTAAAACATCATAACTTGGTTAACTTGATTGAAGTTTTCAAGCGCAAAAGAAAACTTCATTTGGTATTTGAATACTGTGATCACACATTGCTGAATGAGCTTGACGCCAACCCCAATGGTCTTGATGAAACAACTATTCGAAAGACCATGTGGCAGACTCTGCAAGCAGTGAACTACTGTCACCAGCATAATTGCATTCATAGGGATGTCAAACCAGAAAACATACTTGTTTGCAAGGATGGAATAATAAAACTGTGTGATTTTGGGTTTGCAAGACTTATGAATCCTGGTGAGGAGTACACTGACTATGTAGCTACCCGGTGGTACAGAGCTCCCGAACTTTTGGTTGGAGACACACAATATGGCCAGCCTGTTGATATCTGGGCTATTGGATGTGTGTTTGCTGAACTTGTCAATGGTCAAGCTTTATGGCCTGGACGTTCTGATGTGGACCAGCTATATCTCATCAGAAAAACACTTGGAGACCTTACTCCTCGTCACATGCAGATTTTCAGGAGCAATCAATTTTTCCAAGGAATGTCTATTCCTGATCCAAATACTCTTGAACCTCTTCATTCAAAGTTTCCAAACCTCAACACCACATGTTTAGAATTCATGAGGGACTGCCTGGTGCTTGAACCTTCCCAGAGACATACCTGTGAGGAGCTATTGGAAAGCTCCTACTTCGATAATTTTAGAGAGTGGTTCGAACCTGAACTTGCTCGACTAATTGCCAACCGTGAAAGTAAAGATATGTTTAAAGATAAGAAAGGATCCAAAGGAAGAAAGCCTCGCCAGCGAGACGGAAAGTCTCACCTACCACAAATCACTACTCCGAATCCTCACAGCATCGATAGTTCTCAAAGCCCCTGTAACGATAGCGAGAAAGGAAAGTATAACACATTTGACCACCTACCTTCTATCTAAAGACTCTAACATTTCTTGGTGAAGTTGTTAATTGTTAATCCGTAATGCTAGCTACTAATTCATTTGATAATCATATAACTATAATACTATTGATTTGACCTTTCTCAGAGTGCATGTTAATTGTAATGCAAATGATTTTCTTGTTGATTAGATTTTTGTTTAAACGAAAGTAGAAGATTGATAATGAATTCTATTTTAGAGAGGTGTACTCAAATTTTCTTGATAACAGATGTAACAGTATAGTCTGTGGATGTGATCTACAGAAAAGAGTAGTTAAAAATTAACTAAACAACCAATTCTAGTGCTTTCTCATGAATAATTGTAGCTTACAATCATCTAGTGAAAGTAATCAATTATATATGAGTCCGTTACACTATCTTAAATAACTTCAACTAAATTGTAGTAGAAATTTTAATTCATATAATAGTTCTTGTCAGCAGTAATTTTATCTAATTTATTATTTTTCAGAGTTTATTTAACAAAGATTTGAACAGAGCATGTTTTGCTTCTATGTAAAAAATGTAAGATAATTTTCTACTCACAACAAGTTTATATTGTCTGTAATAATTGCACATGTACATATACATATATATCATTAATATAATTTAAGAAATGGTATGCTTGAATGATAATTTTTGCTGTTTTAATCGTGTCAGTTCAGACTTTAAATAAACACTTTATCTACTGACAAATTCTGTAACTGTTAATTACCAATGAAGTCACAAATCTGTTTAAAAGTTTAAATCTCCTTAATTTTAAATCATTTCAATCGATTATATTGTGTTTTTCCGTAGTATCAGTCATATTTCTGTTACTCAATAATGTATCATATGTTCAGGTGATATGGAAATTCCTCACAAGGACATATCAATAAATGACTCAGATTCTGGTAAGGAACTTGTCGCCACTCTTCGACCAAGTTGGTCTTCAATCAAGTGCAAGGTGTTTGATGCTGGTATCACTAATAAACTGTTTGGCTTCATCGGGGAATCGTGCACAGACAAGAATGAAATGATCCTGTTGCGTATTTATGGGAATAACACGAGTTTCATCATCGATCGCAAACGTGAACTTGACACTCATATAAAGTTGCACAAAAGTGGATTTGCTTCAGAAGTTTATTGCACATTGAATAATGGTTATCTATATGGTTTTGTAGCTGGGGACACGTTGACTGAACATTCTGTGAGGGATCCAGCAATTGCCCCACTTATCGCTAGATCTATCGCCCGGATGCATTGCAAGGTACCGATCTCCGACAATGAACCAGTATTTTACTCGACTCTTTGCTCTTGGCTGGAACAACTTCCGGATGACTTGACTTCTGGCAAGCTGGTAGTTTTGAAAGATATTTTAGAAAACAAAGGCACACTTCTAGATGAGCTTGAAGCGTTGAATGGTAAGATTCTCAGTAAGTCTGATCTGCAGATTGGTTTCTGCCACAATGACCTTTTACTTGGAAACATCATCCATAATCCTGCCAAAAAATCTATTTCGGTTATAGATTATGAATACGGTAACACCAACTACCTTTCATTTGACCTCGGCAATCACTTTGATGAGTATGCGGGTATTGAAACGGTAGATTTCAGTCGATATCCTGACGAAGTTTATCAGAAATGTTGGCTTAGGATTTACCTAGACGAAGTGCACGTACAGAAAGGTTTAGGTCCTGTTTCAGATGGTCAAGTAGACCAGCTTTTCAAGGAAGTCAACTTTTTCTCATTGTGTGGGCATTTCTGGTGGGGAACTTGGGCGATCTTCCAAACTCTTAATTCAGACGTCGACTTTGATTTCGCTGATTACAGCAAACAAAAACTCGAAGAATATTTCAAGCAAAAAGAAAAGTTTTTCAATTATATCTAAAACGGATCATATCAGTAGTTTATTGTAATAATTCAGGGGATTTTCATGATTTTGAATGTCAAAAATTTAAGTAAGTAATATGTTTACAGTTTTTAAATTTTTATATTACGATGAATTTATTAAGTGATAATAAGTGTTACAATTAGAATTATAATAAACTTTTTATGTAGCAATGATAGAAGATAATTAAATTATTTACAGATGCTTGAGCTATATACTGTGAATAGTGAAGAATCAAATAATTTCTAATATGAATATACCTTACTAAGGACTTAAACTTACTTTACCTAACCAACTTGACCTTAAATTGCATAACTCCAAACTTAACTTCTACTTGATTATGGTATCGTGCGGATGCTGTGCTAGTGTATGTATATAATTAAATATATTGAGTATTCTTTGTGATTTTTTCTAGTTAATTGTATTCTTACATTTCAACGCATTTAATAATAAGATTTTAAATTATGATATCAAATATGAACGATTTCTCTTTATATAATAGTTATTAGGTCATGTATGTTTCTTGTCTTTAATACTATCAGAATAGATAAGATCTTTTCAATTGGATGATTTGCCTTTTTAACGTTAAATTTGCAATGGTTGGGTATGATAAAAATATCGTTTTAATTGCCTTATTTTTTAAATTGATCCTGTAAATCTTAACAATTTAAACCAGTCACTCAAAAAGCATATTATAATCAGTTTATTCGCAGATCATATTTTTCGGAAGTAAAAAGTTGTCAATGATGATGTTATTCCAAATTTATTTGTAATTACAATTTCACTCTAGAACAAAAAACTAGAAACATGGCAGACGTATATGGAGATGCGTTGGAGAAAAGTAAGAGGTTTCTCAGTGAGTTCTCGGTTCCAGGACCCAGAAAGGGAACCAAACTACACAAATACGGAACCCAACTTGTAGCCCTCGCCCATCGAGAACAGGTGAATATTCAATTAATTAATCCGAGAACAAGGTCTGTTCAATGTTATGTACATACATTAAACGTTGATGGTACAATATTTAGATCGTGCCCTGTATTTTAGTAGTTTATGAACAGAATTATTATTGTATTGATAGCTGTATTAATTATATCTGTTTTGCAGGTGTCCCTGAGACTTTCAATGGACGATATCGCTGAGTTCGACGAGGATCTCAGCAGAGAAATAATGGGTAACACAGTGAGATACCAGAAGTTGCTGAGTGAAGCAGTGTCTGATATCCTGCCTGACTACCAGCAACACGAGGTACAGAACAAAGACTCTCTAGACGTTTACATCCAACACAGACTGCTGCTGGAGGCTCGAAACAGGGGCTCTGATGAAATAAGAGATCCAAAGAACCAGTACCCTCCTGAGCTACTTCGACGATTTGAGCTGAACTTTACCCCTCCCTCCGCCCAGAAGCCTTTGTCTATCCGCCAGATAACTGCAGATAGGATCGGTACTCTGGTAACTATTCGGGGTACAGTAACCAGGGCTACAGAAGTAAAACCAGCCATGACGGTAGCTACCTACACATGTGACCAGTGTGGTTCTGAAACCTACCAGCCTATCACTGGAATACAGTTTACTCCCATTGACATGTGTCCCAGCAAGGACTGTCAAACTAACAAGAGTAACGGGAGATTGTACCTGCAGGCTAGGGGTAGCAAGTTTGTTAAGTTCCAGGACGTGAAGATACAGGAGGACAGTGACCAGGTACCTGTGGGAGACACACCCCGGAGTATGACTCTACTCTGTAGTGGAGAAAACACGAGGCTCTGTCAGCCGGGTGATCACATCAACGTTACTGGGGTCTTCTTACCTGTTCAGAGATCAGGGCTCAAAGCCATGATGGGGGGCTTGATGTCCGATACTTTCCTCCAAGTTCACAAGATTGAGAGAGTAAAGAAAGGTTTCGAGGAATCCACTCTGGAGTGCTTGGCGGAGGAAGAATGCAGGACTCTCGCTCAAGAACCTCTCTTCTACGATAAACTTGCAGCTTCTCTAGCTCCCGAGATTTACGGTCATGACGACGTTAAGAAAGCTCTGTTGCTACTTCTTGTTGGTGGGGTAGACAGAAATACCCAGGGTATGAAGATTAGAGGCAGTCTTAACATCTGCCTCATGGGAGATCCCGGTGTGGCTAAATCTCAGTTGCTGTCCTATATTGACCGAATAGCACCTCGGTGTCAGTACACTACTGGTAGAGGTAGCACGGGAGTAGGTCTCACTGCGGCTGTCATGAAGGATCCTATAACTGGGGAGATGATTCTAGAAGGAGGTGCTCTGGTTCTGGCTGATAAAGGTATCTGTTGTATTGACGAGTTCGATAAGATGAACGAGAGTGACAGGACAGCGATACACGAGGTCATGGAACAGCAGACCATCAGTATCGCTAAAGCAGGCATCCTCACCACACTGAACGCCAGAGTTTCTATCCTAGCTGCTGCTAACCCAGCGTATGGTAGATACAACGTGAAGAAGAGTGTAGAACAGAATATCCAACTTCCTGCCGCCCTACTCTCTAGGTTTGACTTACTCTGGTTGATTCGTGACAAGCCAGATGCTAACGCTGACCTGAGACTGGCCCAGCACATCACTTACGTGCACCAGCACAACACACACCCTCCCAGGGAGGTGGAACCTCTGGACCCTGACCTCATGAAACGTTACATCGCCACCTGCAAACTCAAGGACCCCATCATCCCTGAGTCTCTGACTGAGTATATTGTCTACACTTATGTGGAACTGCGAAAGGAGGCTAGAGAAGATCCAAGAAATGCTACTTTCACTTCCGCGAGGAACCTTCTCGCAGTACTGAGACTGTCCACGGCACTAGCTAGACTGAGGTTTGCTGATGTGGTTGAAAGGGAGGATATTGACGAAGCAAACAGGCTGATGGAGATGTCCAAATTCTCTCTTGTTGACGACGAGACAACAGCCAGACGTACTCGACCTGTTGATCTCATCTACTCTATTATCAGAGATCTACAGAAGGGAGGCACTGTGGTGAAGTATGACGATGCGAGACAGAGATGTATTGCTAAGGGCTTTAATCAGGAGCAGTATGACGAGTGTATTGATGAGTATGAGCGCCTCAACATCTGGCACCTCAACGCTGCCCGCACCAGAATCACTTTTATTCAGTAGTGAATGTGTACGTGTGTGAACAAACACGATTTATCCAGCATACTTTATTTGTTAATATCTCACTGGTTGAGTTAAGTCCTAATTGTCCTAATTGTGGTAAATTTTATCAGAACAATTCTGCTTTTGCTAACTGACTGTGAACAAAACTTAAGTACTATTGTATTAATTTCAACTTAAATTCTCATAGCTAACAATGTCTATCTTATTTCAAAATTTTACTTCATACTTCTGTAAGCTGTGCAATATGCCAGTTTGAATTAATAACTGATAGCGTTTAATTAGGATTTATAGCTCTGAACTGTTTTTGTAATTCTGCAAACGTGCCCAGATTTTAAACATTTTTAACTAGTTTTTAATTTTATTAATCATTATTGTCGCTTTATAGTTTTTACCATCTCGGGTTATGGGATGAAGGGTTTTATTTCATGTCCTTTTTGTTTAACGTAAACATTTAAGTTAAAGTGGGTAAATTTTGAAACCCAGTTTGCCGCTACATTCATTAGGAATACTACCATTATAGTACATACTATGACACAACACTACAAAACATGACAGAGTTCAGCTTTATTATTATTATATATGCAAAGAACTACTTTATACGACACTACTTAAATTATGGAATTATATTATGACATGAAATCTCTATACTATTTGATAATTATTTGAATTATATTTGGAAACAACGCGTTTAGTTTTACTGAAATTCGTACATATACTGCACTGTCAATTTAAAAACGGAATCATCCCATTCTGGAACTGAGTAAGTTAAAAGTATCATTAAATACTGACTATTTGAGTGATGGAGCCAGACCTGCCCTTAATAAATAATTACTTTTAGTTTCCACCCCTAGGTTTCATCAGTCCTAATGTGCTTTTCCTGAATTAAAACAAATGTTGCCTGTACTGTACTGTACAGCTGCTGTTGTACCATAGTCTTGCCAGTATTTTTGTCAATGTATTAAATTTGTCTTGCGATGTTCATAGCTTTTTAATCCATTTCTTGAAACAGAAATTACCGGAAATTGTGAAACTTACTCTCAAGTCTAGGTTCCAGACTTAAATACAAGTTTGAATTACGATATTTTCAAATGTAATCTAACCAATACACCAAATCTAGGTTTGTAGTATTAAAGGAACAAGTTGTAAGGTAGAGTAGCCGCTTCGCGAGCATCTGACCACCACTAGCCGTTACTCATGGACTACTCGGATGTCATCGCTAACCAGCCCGTTGTTATAGACAATGTGAGTTATGTGTCCTGCATGCTGTTTGCTGATCTTATTTTATGTTTATTGAATTATTCAAATTGTAGCTCTGGCTTATGTGCGTATATTATTGTATAAGGCTTATTACAATTTATCTTTTTTAGTGTAATGAATACAAACCACATTTGAATTGTTAGGTTACATTAGTGGGATTTATTTTTGGCACTGACTAAATTATGAACACTTTTGATTGATAAGTTCATGATGTAAAGTTGTACACAATGTTCATCTGCTTGCTGATCTCCAGTATTTTTCCAAATGAATTTGACTCTAAATGTTAATTCCAGGGGTCAGGTCTAATAAAAGCCGGATTCTCAGGAGACCTTGTGCCTAAATGCCATTTTTCTTCATTGTAAGTTTGTAAAGCTCCGACTGTACCGATTTGTTCGTTAAGAAGCACAATGTTTTTATATCATCATGCTTATTTTCAATTTGCATGACTTAATTTCAGTGTTTACAAATCCAATAAAATGCCCGTTTTCCAAGTTTAAACAACCCCCGTGATCAAAATATAACCGTTGTCTTACAAACACCAAGAGGACGAATACTCGTGACATTGATTTGGCAGTAACCATTTGCATTAACAACACATTAACAACCCATATAACACCATCTACTAGTCTCCAGTAAACCCAACCTCCCAGTATTGGTCGACCAAAGTACGAACGTGTGATGGCAGGTGCCCTGAAACCAGACATATTCATGGGTTCTCAAGCTCAGGAACACCGGGGACTGCTCAATATTAAATACCCTATTGAGGTTCGTACTGTTAATATGCTCAATTAAAAGTAGTCTACTTTCTCAGCACTGTGACACTGACACGTAATCTGAATTAAAGTAAGTTATATATGTGTTGTAAGTAATACATTTACACTCAAACATTGATCGCTGAACCAATAAAATAAGTCTACTCTCCGCAGCATGGTATAGTGACTGACTGGGATGATATGGAGAAGTTGTGGAACTATGTGTACTCTAAAGACCACCTAAACACCTTCCCTGAGGAACACCCTGTCCTGCTGACTGAAGCTCCTATAAACCCTAGGAGGAACCGAGAGAAAGCTGCCGAGGTAACTTATTGGTATTTAACACACCGCTCTCAATAAAAACACTGTTTACCTTTGTGATGTGCAAATGGGCCTTCCTTTACTAAGCGTGGTATTTTTTGTAAGTGTGTATGATGTAGTTGGATGTACGGTATTTGAACACATTCCGTGAATATTTAGCAAATTGTCCTACATCTCCTCTCTGTTAAAAAGTTGCTGTATAAATTACACATTGTCTAATTACACCTGATACTTACAGTAAATCCCGCACTTGAATCATTCTCTCTGGGAATGTAAGAGTGATATCACACGGATCTATTATACCACTGTACTATACCACTGTATACACTCTCACACACACAGCTCCGATAACATACTACACTCATAAATATCACTGTGCACAATATCTAACACGCGGATACCAGAGTGTACCCTCCTGTATATTATATTTACTCCACGTAAGCTGTGTAGTAAGCTGCATGCAGTCTGAGCTGGTCCCATGACCAACGCGATGTGTTTGGAAATACCATGGCAACCGAGGTGTGCAGCAGTTAGCAAGCAAAGCACGTGATATCTCGACTATATCTGGATAGTTTCGTACTGCGCAATGAATGGATATATCTATCTAATCTGGAACATTAAGATTAACTTTTCGTGGAAAACCGGAGTTTAATGACATGTGACACTGAAGTGTAATGACATGTGACACTGAAGTGAGATCTGCTGTGGATCACATACTTAGTTGTGTGTCTCTCACTTCCCCAACATGCAATAATGAATGTAACCAATATGTCAATACAGATGTGACTGGAGTGTTACTTGAGAGTGGGTTTACTGATAGCACGGTGCTACTGTGTATCATACATGTGCAGTGTACATTGTGGTATGTACAGATTATGTACAGATTGCACCTCTAATCACTAGTATACCCACAGCACACAACACATGGACTCTCTCTCTCTCTCTCTCTCTCTCTCTCTCTCTCTCTCTCTCTCTCTCTCTCTCTCTCTCTCTCTCTCTCTCTCTCTCTCTCTCTCTCTCTCTCTCTCTCTCTCTCTCTCTCTCTCTCTCTCTCTCTCTCTCTCTCTCTCTCTCTCTCTCTCTCTCTCTCTCTCTCTCTCTCTCTCTCTCTCTCTCTCTCTCTCTCTCTCTCTCTCTCTCTCTCTCTCTCTCTCTCTCTCTCTCTCTCTCTCTCTCTCTCTCTCTCTCTCTCTCTCTCTCTCTCTCTCTCTCTCTCTCTCTCTCTCTCTCTCTCTCTCTCTCTCTCTCTCTCTCTCTCTCTCTCTCTCTCTCTCTCTCTCTCTCTCTCTCTCTCTCTCTCTCTCTCTCTCTCTCTCTCTCTCTCTCTCTCTCTCTCTCTCTCTCTCTCTCTCTCTCTCTCTCTCTCTCTCTCTCTCTCTCTCTCTCTCTCTCTCTCTCTCTCCCAACTCAACACTCGTAGCAAGAAGCTCTGTTAATGCCAGCACTTAATACCCATATATAAAGTGGTTGCCTTGACTACTTCTGCTCTAATTTTATCAACCTTGAAATTTAACCGTTTTGAAGGTAGAACAGTTACAGCAGGTACTATCTTGTTTCATGGTATGCAAGGTTTATTCAGTACAAGTCTTGGAACAGTTCCATCTACTTTGAAACCTGCCTAATTTTTACAACATCTCACTTTCAAGTAACAATAAACTTGAATGGATACTGAATAATATATGTAAAAGTCGAGGTTAACCGCCATCAAGAACATGTAATATTCTAGAAAACTTCTAGAAAGTTTACGGAGTACGTTTGCTTGCTAAGAGAATAAACCTGGGCAACTTACATGGTGTATTACTCCAGTGAGGTCACTGGTTTTGAGCGGGGAGCATTTTATTAGAATCAAGTGGTCTCATGTTTCAATTTGGACTATTTTTAGATTACATATTAAGTAATTAATCGCTTGAATTTCAGATATTTTTCGAGACATTCAATGCCCCGGCTTTCTTCGTGTCAATGCAAGCGATCCTGAGTCTGTACGGAACAGGACGAGTGACAGGTGTGGTTCTAGATTCAGGAGATGGTGTTACACACGCAGTTCCTATTTACGAGGGTTTTGCTATGCCACATTCCATCAGCGTATTGATGTAGCCGGCAGGGATATTACACGGTACCTCAAGATTCTGCTGAGAAGAGAAGGACACAACTTCAAGACTACTTCAGAGTTTGAGATTGTTAGAACCATCAAAGAGGTAAGTGGGTCTTGCTTAAAGATAACAAATCCGTGTACTACTTGTATGCAGAACATTTGTTGATATTTTGAAATTTTTCGCTGCTTAGTACATTATTTAACATTAAACATACTAACTTATATTCAGAGATTTTAACTCTAATCGAAATATGTCTAAATTTGTTCTGCGATCAACAACTTCATTAATTTACCTTATCTTCAGAAAGCGTGTTATCTTGCTCACAACCCGCAAAAAGAGGAATCCATGGAGAGCGAGAAAGGAGCGTACATGTTACCGGACGGCAGCACGATTGAGATAGGTAAAGCAAGATTCAGAGCACCTGAGGTCTTGTTTAGACCTGATCTTATTGGAGAGGAGAGCAGTGGATTACACGAGGTAATGTTGGGCTTTTTGTTAGAGAAATATTCACATTCTCGTGTTACTTAGACAAAAAAAAAGCCTAAGGAATCGAACCTCGAGCGCCTTCCCATTTCTTTGGTCGAAGTGTAAAAGTGACAAATAACACGCATATTTTCAGGTGCTATTTCATTCAATACAGCGATCAGATATGGATTTAAGAAGAACTTTTTACAGCAACATAGTTTTATCTGGTGGTTCAACTCTATTCAAAGGTAAGCATTATTGATTATAGATTTGCGCCAGATAGCCTCCGACAAAAAGAGCGGGAAACGTTTTATTATAATCTTTGTTTCTTAAATCGATCAATAATCATCGTTGAAGATACATAACATTGTTAGGGCTACTATAAAATGTTTTACCTTGGGCATTAAAATACTGTTAATGGGCAAATAACTAGGGCAAAATACCCATTATTCATGGGGCAATTTCGCGCGCAATATCCATGACGAATCAAGGGACATACACGAAAACGTAACTAAAGTACTAGCAAAATTGGTGAACAATCGCATGCAAACCATCTTATCCTAAGCCATTAGTGTAACACTTTGAAATATTATTACGGTGGTTTTATATTTTGGTTTCAATTCCGAAGAGTTGGTGATAATTAAATTAACCCGCTTTTCTTACAGGATTCGGAGATCGATTATTGGGTGAACTGAAGAAGCTATGTCCAAAGGATATGAAATTGAAGGTAATCCACTTTCGCTGCTATTTATTATGATTCAATTCATGACTTCCCTCCCGGAAACTAAACTCGATTGAACTCTCGAACAAGGTGGTAACATGTGTACACACTCTAAATACTAACAACAATTTTAAATTATTCCAGATATTAGCGCCACAAGAACGTTTGTATTCAACCTGGATCGGGGGATCAATCTTGGCCTCACTGGAGAACTTCAAGAAAATGTGGATATCCAAGCGTGAATATGAGGAAGAGGGAGTAAGGGCAGTGCATAGGAAAACATTTTAAAGTTTTGTAGATATATTTGATTATCATTATGTGTAAATTTTAACCTTCCAGAGCAACACTTCGTGAGGCAATAGGTTGTCATCAGGAATAATAAACCACAGTCGTGTAGAACTTTTGACCCTTAAATGTAAGAAGAAGGAATTCAAAATTTGACTTATGGCATCTTCGCTGAAAATATTTGTGTAAGTTACAGTTTTTTTGTTAATTTACTGAGTTTTGTTGATCAAATGATTAAAATTCTAGATGGAATTCATAACAGGACGATGAAAATCATTTGACAAAATTCCAAAACTAGCATTTGCACTAGCACTGACTTGAATACGTTTCAAAAAGCGTATTTGATATTTATTCGTGATGGGTTTTCAAATATTTATTTGAGAAATAGCTGTGTCGTATATGGCTTTAAGGTTACTTTAAGAGTAGGTTTTTGATATTATGCGGGGTTTAATCTTTTATTTTTCATACTGTAAACAGCTATGTTACCTGCACTGCGTTCTTCGTTATGTATATTAAAGTTTAGTTGTTGCCAAGTCACATCTGCACCATTCTACTACTACGCTGGTCCCCAGGCGGCCCGACCGTTTGCCAAATTTAGCTTATCTGTTGATATATTGTGGATCTCTTGGCTGTTGATTTGATTTAAGGTGCGTTGAATGTATAAATTTTTATATCAATGGTATTGATTTCTATTTCTAAGTTTGAATGCAAATATCTGTTGATTTTTATCGAAAAACTTTCTACATAATATAAATAAAACCCAAATATTAGCTAACAAAATAAGAAAGTAATTTGTGGTCACTTTTAACTTTACTTGAAGACCTTTTTCATCAGTTTTTGGCTTTGATAATTTGATTTCAGTTACACACTTCAATCCCAGCTATAAGATATCGCATACATTTCAATAAAAAATAGTTATTTAGTATTTAGGCACTGTACTGAGAGGAGGTTTGAAGAAAGGCTCACCAGGTAGGAAGGTGAAGGGAGTTGCAGGGTGATACATGTGAGATACTGGTTGGTAACTGGAACTGGAATGTGGGGAGTCAGCTGACTCCGTTAGAGATGTTACTGTTAGAGGCTTCACGAAAGGTAGAGGCTGTACAAAAATGGGTCCTTCAACACTGTCGTTTTGTAGAGAATTTGAATCCTGGCTGCTTTCGTACAAAGTGTATGAGTTTTCTCCGATATAGTTCCGCTTCGGAGAAGTTGACTTATTACAACCATTAAAAGAAGATTCAAAAGATCGATATGTATTTTTAGTTTTACTGGCATGAGTCCGTCGATGGCGAACTAAATTTTGTTTTTGGGTTGCACTGTATGAACATTCAGAGCATTTGTAAGGTTTTTCACCAGTGTGAATCAGCTGATGACGAACTAAATTCGGTTTTGCGCTTGCACTGTAGGAACATTCAGAGCATTTGTAAGGTTTTTCACCAGTGTGAATCAGCTGATGGCGAACTAAATTCGGTTTTACGCTTGCGCTGTAGGAACATTCAGAGCATTTAAATGGTTTTTCACCAGTATGAGTCCGTCGATGTGAAACTAAAGCTGATTTTTGGTTTGAACTGTAGGAACATTCAGAGCAACTGTGCAGTTTTTCACCAATATGAGTCCACCGATGATTAATTAAAGCTCTCTTTTGGCTTGCGCTGTAGGAACATTCAGAGCATTTGTAAGGCTTTTCACCGGTATGAATGATGATTCAGCTGATGGCGAACTAAATTTCGTTTTCGGCTTGCGCTGTAGGAACATTCAGAGCATTTGTAAGGCTTTTCACCGGTATGATTCAGCTGATGGCGAACTAAATTTTGTTTTCGGCTTGCGCTGTAGGAACATTCAGAGCATTTATACGCTTTTTCACCAGTATGAGTCTGTTGATGTAAAACTAAAGCTATTGTTTTGCTTGCACTGTACGAACATTCAGAGCAGTTGTAAGACTTCTCATCAGTATGAACCGACTGTTGACAAGGTAATGCTGATTCTTGGATGGGACAATGCATCTGAGAAGTAAGATTCGAATACTTTTCTGATTTAATAACAAGATTATCTTCCTCTTTCTTGATCTCTGTCTTCATCAATTCTGGTAAGTTGCAATCTTCCAGGCCCTCTTTCTTGATCTCTGTCATTATCAATTCTGGTAAGTTGCAATCTTCCAGGCCCTCTTTCTTGATCTCTGTCTTTATCAATTCTGGTAAGTTGCAATCTTCCAGGCCCTCTTTCTTGATCTCAGTCTTTATCAATTCTGGTCGGATGTAATCTTCTTCTATCTTCATATCATCTTTAAACTCTGGTACATTTTGCTGCTTCATTTTACTGGAAAGTCAACATGAACAACCGTACGCGTACGTGTAAATATGTTGGCATTCTATGATGGTCACTAGAAAATGATAGGAATGTAAATTCGAGGTGTATTATCAGTATCTCCGAAACGATATTTCAGATAAGAATTAATTGGAAAAAATGTTAGCTCTGTTCATGGAGCATCAAACTTAAAGCTAGCTAATTGGACTTGGAGAATAGAGTACCCAATGAAAAAACAAGCTTTGATCACAGAAAATAGGGAAATGGCGGAGAGGGTAGTCAAATTCGTTAAAAGTTTAAAATGTTATTTTGATATTTTGCCGATAATTAGTTGCAAATAAAAGATAATACATATATAATAATAAATAATTATAACTCGTGCAAGTCCGAAATGGGCCGTGTGCTGCTTCTAGGAAGTACATATGACAGTGCATATCAGCACACTGTTGGCTTTCTTAGAGACCTGATGAGTACCAAGCGGAAATCATGACTGCCTGGTAAGCAAGTTCACACTCATTCCGAATGGCGGTAGACTATTACAGCTACACTGCAGCTTACACTGTAGTGGGAATCGCGTCACTGATATCCTCCGAGCATAATTACCAGGATAAATCCTGTACCAATCACACATATAATTATATACATGTATTATAATAAACTTCTAAACTTAATCAAACAATTAAACTATAACTTCAGTCTTCAAAATAAAGTTCCACGATAATGTTATATCTGAATATTGCATTACGATACTGTCTGTGATCTAGTTCGTGATGTTCGTGATGTAAATTTTACGGTGATCACTTTTTACAGAATTCTGTAGTAGTACAAGATCATGAATCTGGTCACGATTTAGGAAAGGTCACGTTTTACATCACGGACAGTATTACTATTATAGTACAGACAGATCGTAGTACTGAAAAAATCGATCGACCGACACAAGAAGCTTTCGAAGGATTTTTGACGTTTTTGAGTCCCATTAGGTGCCCTTTATGGCTGACCAACTTTTCCAAACTTTTCCACGTGTCTTAAGCCCACTTTTTGCCACTTTTACCACTTTTTACCGGGTGGGCGACAATTGACCCCCCGACAATTGACCCCCCGACAATTAACCCCCCGACAATTGACCCCCGACAATTTACCCCCCGACAATTTACCCCCGGCTGACCTTGACCCTGACCCAGGACCCAGGACCCAGGACCCTGACCCTGACCCTGACCCTGACCCTGACCCTGACCCTGACCCAGGACCCTGTCCCTGTCCCTGACCCTGACCCTGACCCTGACCCTAACCCAAACCCTAACCCTAACCCTAACCCTGACCCTGACCCTTACCCTGACCCAGGACCCTAACCCTAACCCTGACCCAGGACCCGATCAATTGACCCCAGTGTAATTACATGGGGGGTCAATTGTCGGGGGGTCAATTGTCGTACTAAACCCTAGATTTCGCGACAATTGACCCCAGTGTAATTACATAGGGGTCAATTGTCGGGGGGTCAATTGTCTGGGGGTCAATTGTCGGAAGGTCAATTGTCGGGGGGTCAATTGTCGCGGTACCTTTTTACCACCTTTCTTGTTTGTCGAATATCCTTAGTTTTGAACATCGCAAGAGCTTGCAGATTAATCGAGGGTGTTCATCTTATCAGGAGGAAAAACTGATGTAAAGACAATTTAGACGAGTAACACTAACAGTAACACTAACATCCGTTAAGCTTTTCCTATTCATTTACAATAACAATTGTAATAGATTAAGAAGAACTACCCGAAGGCAGCTGTTATACTCGGCAATAACGATTCAATAAACATCAGCTAATTGGACACTAACTTAACACTTAAACTATACTGCCCTTATCCCGAAATACTACGGGAAATACTATAATTGACATTGTATGAGTATGACGTATGTATCCACCTGGGAGGACTTCGCCGATTCGACGCGCCTCGCAAACTTTACTGGGCCGCGCTAAGCCTATCATTCCGCCGAATCTCTATTCATATGATTATGAACATAAATATAATAGCCTGAGGTCCCCTGGGCCAGGTAACGCAACCTAGCATTCTTGCTTTGCATCGAAAACGAGATCGTTGCTTTGCTTTGCAGAGCAACGATCTGGAAGAGTTGACAACGTCAATTTAATCAAGTATCCACCCGGAAGCAACCCAAAGAAATTTTTACAGCATGTGACATGATAGTTGATGCAATTAATCGAAACTTATATTACAATTCGTATTAAAGTACAATAATATATAATTATAACTATTAGTGATTAGTGCGGCCCAGTAAATATAATGCATCGCGCTAAAAATTAAAAGCTCTGCCTCTACCTACAGATAACAACATGAATAGCACAAAGAACGTACGCGTAAAATGCTTTATAAACAATAAAATATTAAATGTTTAAAGTTAAACAATAAAATATTAAAACCGTAAACTCTTAACATATGTATGTTATTAACTTCCTTGTTTTACTTTAATGTTATTAACTTAAATTTGATCCTTCGAACAGCTGTTGAGCAATGTTATTAACTTCCTTGTTTTACTTTTCCTTGTCTCTTCCAATACAACCAATACAACCAGATATTTATCCAACTATCAATATTTCAATCATGAGTTATTGAGACTAATAAACAGCGAACTACTCCGATATTTGATATGTTATTAAATGTAACAAACAATCATGTTCGGGAGATGGTTAAACAAATATCAGTTCACATTGACATAGGAATTTTTTTATAAATGCTATCTCGTGAAATGTTTACGATAACGAAAGACAATGATAATTGATAACCCTGGTCATTAGTAAGACCCCTAATCATATAACCATTATATGTTATAATTCACATGCGTCATGCCTATCTTAAAAGTTCTTCCTAGCTGTGACAATCTTCTAAAGTTAAATTGGGAAAAACGTGACCGGGTGCAGTCCATCTCGTGCGAACTTTCCTAATCAAATGACCAGGGTGTAAATCCGTAGTAAATACATATTATAAATATATACATTACAGAAAACTGAAAAGCCGACAACAACTCCACTCGTGAGACTTGTCTGAATGCTTTTTCTGGAAAAACATAAATTTGATGTTAAATTGAGCTACTCAATTATTAGGACAAGCAGACTGTGATTGATTGACTAAATTATGTTTAGTCCCCCATATTATTACATTTACAACATGTTATCACTATCAGTTGAATAATATCTGCCGTGACTATGGCTATTCATTTTGATTTAGTCAGGAATTCTTGATAAGGTGTATTTTTATCTTTTGCTTTTAATTTATCCCAATCTAGATCAGTAATTGATATGTATTTTGTGGTCGATACGTTGTGTCTAATTTAAATTAGTGCCACCTAGGTTTATTCAATTTGCGATTGTATAACTTTCTACTTAATTAGGTGTTAGGGGTAGTTCACAAATCACATATTATGTGATCAGTGAAGGGGGGGGGGGGGGGGGGGGGGGGGTTTCTAGGTGGTATTACGCTTGTGTAACTTTACGGTAGCTATGTCAATGTGTAAAACAGAAAACTGATTACGAATTGGCCACAAAGAGATAACGTAAAACTTCTGTTTAATAATTTTAATATTCCTGGAAACCCGTAGCACAATGACAAACCTGGAATATGATTACAGTAACGGAACTCTGCACGCCATTAAAAGTGATGTGATGAGATACACGTGGTCTGTGTATTTCTTAGTGATTCTCTGTTCATCTCTTGTCGGGGACACATTCATTCTGATTATATCCGTCAAGTACAGGGCCATCCGACTTGACAAGGTCCTCGTAGCTATCATCCAACACATTGCTGTATGTGATTTAATGATCTGTGTGGTATCCATACTTCCGAAGGTTACCTCCCTCATTGCTGATAGATGGGTGCTAGGCAACGTCCTGTGTACAGCGTGTTGTCTCGGTAGATATTACTTGTATGGAGTCATCCTGTCTCTTGTTTGCGCTATGCCTTCGGTCCTGCTGCTTCTCCTCAAATATCCCCTCCAGTCGTCGACAGTAACTTTGAAGACCGTACATCAGATTTGTGGAGCGTTTTGGTTGATAGCTTCGATTGGCCTAGTGACGACCCTGATCCTTGATTATAAATGGGAAATTTGCTTTTCATACAAAGGTTATGATTGCGACTTTGTTTTGAGAAGAAATATTTGGCGTCGGATGAGGACGTTAACAACAGCCATATTTATCTCCATTCTAAACTGTATTGTTGTTACAACCACAATTCAAATGATAATCATGGCTAAAGGGATCGTTAGCAAGCGTGGAGAAAGTCTGAAGTGGCAAAGGGTCTGGACAAAAGTTCTTAAAGCAGTAATTTATTGCATCTCCTCCCTTCCATTTGCTGTTTACCAAATCATAGAATTACACATTTCCGAAGAAAAATTCAACCACCACTTATACAGACTAGCCGACTCTTTGCTGTTCCTTCAGATTGTGAGCAATTTGCATGTGCTTACTTTGAAGAGCATTAGAAAGTTTTTCCGGACAAAGATGTACAACAGACATCGCAACAACCTTCGAAATGGGTGAGGCTGTAATGTTAACTGAAGTTTGAGTTATATAATTAATTTGTGTTTGATTCATAAACGACTGGAAGAAGAATTAATAATTCTAATATAGCACTTTTTATGTCATTTCTTCTCAGGAATAAGAAGACTCACGCAAATAAAAGGGACATCATGGCTGATACTATAACGACAACAATTTCAACTTAGGATTAATAGATGTAGATTCTGGTGGGGAAGTAAGGCATATTGTTTTGACGCGTGACAGCAATTAACCAATCAGCATCCACTATTGACCGATGAAATTCAAACCCCAGAACCACTGTTAATATGCCTCCACACAAGAATCCACACCTATTACATATTAGAAATAAATTAATAATTATGTAAACTGAAACTTAGACCATTTTAGTTTGAATTTGTGTTTTTAAATGAACCAATAGTATATACCAATTACTTGGACTGCAGGAGTTCTACTGCTTTTTTGTTAGCTTCACTAATATTTATATACAGATTTGATATTTTAACCTTATATTTCATTTCACAATTTCACAATTTAGTATTTACAGTTTGACTACAAACGGATTGTTGTATCAAATAATGAATAAATTTACATTTAAGCTTGAACTTCGTACTCTTTTAGTTTTACATTTATAAGTATTGGTTTTAAAAGCTCACGACAACGAATAGAACGTTAAATTATTTGACAACTTAATTGATTCAAGCAAGAAAAGTATCACAATCAATTAGACAATCAAGTATATTTACGCGATTCTTGTGCTTCTTTTATGACTTCAATTTTGAAATAAAGAACTTACTCGTATTATCTGGTATTAATTGTTCAACCTACTCTCGAATATATAGATTTTCCGACAGTTGCATGCACAGTCTATTCTAGTAACGTTACAAATTCACTCGCTTTCGTATCAGTTGTGTTCTTATCAATGCACTGAATCGTATGCGGCTTTAAATTAAAGTATGAACACAGTGTACAATGTATCATCATTATCAGCGAATTTAACGATAGTTTCAGTCTGCTTAAACTCCCTATGAGTATGGACTGTACGGTAAACCGGGATTAACGGTAAGGTAAATCGCGGTTTTACTGATTCCTACAGTAAACCCCGATTTACCTTACCGTAAACCCTTGTGTGTATTTAATATTTCTTTTAAATATCCAAAAGATGGTTAAGTCTTACATGTAATAGTTGCTCGAAAACTTGATAAAACCCGAATATTAACTAAGAAAATAAGAAACTAATTTCACTTTACAAAACCTTTTACAAAACCTTTTACATCAGCTTTTGGCTTTGATAATTTGATTTGAGTTAGAAACTTCGTCCAGTTCCTGCAGCTATAAGATATCACATACATTTCAATAGAATTATACTAAAGTTATTTATGCCCCATATTTCATAACCACTATACTGAGAGGTGAGACAGTGGGAGGAGTTGTTGGGGGAGACAAGTGAGATGTTGGTTGGTAACTGGAGAAGGAACCGGGAAGTAAGCTGGAACTGGAGAGTAGGGAGTCAGCTGACTCAGCTAAAGTTGTTAGAGGCTTCACGAAAGGTATAAACTTTTAAAAAATGGGTCCTTCAACACTATTGTTTTGTCGAGAATTTGAAGCCTGGCTTCTTTCATGAAAAGTGTGTGAGTTTTCTCCGATATAGTTCCGCTTTGGAAAAGCCAAAGTTGACTTATGAAAACCATTAAAAGAACATTTAGAAGATCGATAAGTATTTTTACTGTCATTTCGTTTTAGGCTTGCACTGTTGGAACATTTAGAGCATTTTTATGGTTTTTCACCAGTATGAGTCAGCCGATGGCAAACTTAATTTGATAATGATCTGTTGCTTGCACTGTAAGAACATTCAGAGCATTTGTATGGTTTTTCACCAGTATGAGTCCGTCGATGTGAAACTAAAACTGATACGATACGTATTTTTACTGTCATTTCGTTTTAGGCTTGCACTGTTGGAACATTTAGAGCATTTGTATGGTTTTTTCACCAGTATGAGTCCGTCGATGTGAAACTAAAACTGATTTTTGGCTTGAACTGTAGGAACATTCAGAACAACTATATGGTTTTTCACTAGTATGAGTCCGTCGATGTGAAACTAAAGCTGATTTTTGGCTTGAACTGTAGGAACATTCAGGCAACTGTACAGTTTTTCGCCAGTATGAGTCCACCGATGATTAACTACAGCTGTCTTTTGGCTTGCGCTGTAGGAACATTCAGAGCATTTGTAAGGTTTTTCACCAGTGTGAATCAGCTGATGACGAACTAAATTCGGTTTTACGCTTGCACTGTAGGAACATTCAGAGCATTTGTAAGGTTTTTCACCAGTGTGAATCAGCTGATGGCGAACTAAATTCGGTTTTACGCTTGTACTGTATGAACATTCAGAGCATTTATATGGCTTTTCACCAGTATGAGTCCGTCGATGTAAAACTAAAGCTCTCTTTTGGCTTGCACTGTAGGAACATTCAGAGCATTTGTAAGGCTTTTCACCAGTGTGAATCAGCTGATGGCGAACTAAATTTTGTTTTCGGCTTGCGCTGTAGGAACATTCAGAGCATTTATACGCTTTTTCACCAGTATGAGTATGTTGATGTAAAACTAAAGCTATTGTTTTGCTTGCACTGTACGAACATTCAGAGCAGTTGTAAGACTTCTCATCAGTATGAACCGACTGTTGACAAGGTAATGCTGATTCTTGGATGGGACAATGCATCTGAGAAGTAGGATTCGAATACTTTTCTGATTTAAAAACAAGATTATCTTCCTCTTTCTTGATCTCTGTCTTCATCAATTCTGGTAAGTTGCAATGTTCCAGGCCCTCTTTCTTGATCTCTGTCTTTATCAATTCTGGTAAGTTGCAATGTTCCAGGCCCTCTTTCTTGATCTCTGTATTTATCAATTCTGGTAGGATGTAATCTTCTTCCATCTTCATATCATCTTTAAACTCTGGTACATTTTGCTGCTTCATTTTACTGGAAAGTCAACATGAACAACCGTACGCGTACGTGTAAAATGTAAATATGTTGGCATTTGATGATGGTCACTAGAAAATGATATGAATGTAAATTCGAAGTGTATTATCTTTGAAACGATATTTCAGATAAGAATTAATTGGAAAAAATGTTAGCTCTGTTTATGGAGCATCATACTTAAAGCTAATTAGCGAATAGGTAGCTAATTAGAGAATAGAGATACCCAATGAAAAAAACAAGCCTTGATCACAGAAAATAAGGAAATGGCGGAGAGGGTAGTCAAATTCGTTAAAAGTTTAAAATGTTATTTTGATATTTTGCCGATAATTAGTTGCAAATAAAAGATAATACATATATACATGTATTATAATAAACTTCTAAACTTAATCAAACAACTAAACTATAACTGCAGTCTTCAAACTAAAGCTCCACGAATACGATAATGTTATATCTGAATATTGCATTACCATACTGTCCGTGATCTAGTTCGTGATGTTCGTGATGTAAATTTTACGGTGATCACTTTTTACAGAATTCTGTAGTATTACAAGATCATGAATCTGGTCACGCTTTAGGAAAGGTCACGTTTAACATCACGAACTAGATCACGGACAGTATTATAGTACAGACAGATCGTAGTACTGAAAAAATCTATCGACCGACACAAGAAGCTTTCGAAGGATTTTTGATGTTTTTGAGTCCCATTAGGTGCCCTTTATGGCTGACCAACTTTTCCAAACTTTTCCACGTGTCTTAAGCCCACTTTTTGCCACTTTTACCACTTTTTACCACCTTTCTTGTTTGTTGAATATCCTTAGTTTTGAACATCGCAAAAGCTTGCAGATTAATCGAGGGTGTTCATCTTATCAGGAGGAAAAACTGATGTAAAGACAATTTAGACGAGTAACACTAACACTAACATCCGTCAAGCTTTTCCTATTCATTTACAATTACATTTACAATTGTAATAGATTAAGAAGAACTACCCGAAGGCAGCTGTACTCGGCAAAATAACGATTCAATAAACATCAGCTAATTGGACACTAACTATACCGCCCTTATCCCGAAATACTACGGGAAATACTATTGACATTGTATGACTATGACGTATGTATCCACGGCCTGGGAGGACTTCGCCGATTTGACGCGCCTCGCAAACTTTACTGGGCCGCGCTCAGCCTGTCATTCAGCCGAATTTCTATTCATATGATTTGTATATCATATTAGATATTTATACAATAAAATATTAAAACCGTCTTAACGTATATGTTATTAACTTCCTTGTTTTACTTGTCTTTGTCTCTTCCAACCAGATATTTATCCAACTATCAGTATTAAATTTCAATCATGAGTTATACTTATTGAGACTAATATTAATAAACAGCGAACTACTCTGATATTTGATATGTTATTAAATGTAACAAACAATCATGTTCGGGAGATGATTAAAAACCTATCAGTTCACATTGACATAGGAATTTTTTTATAAATGCTATCTCATGAAAGGTTTACGATAACGAAAGACAATGATAACCCTGGTCATTAGTAAGACCCTTAATCATATAACCATTATAATTCATACATCAACATGCCTATTATATATCTTAAAAGTTCTTCCTAGCTGTGACAATCTTCTAAAGATAAATTGGAAAAACGTGATCGGGTCATGGTCCATCTCGTGCGAACTTTCCTAATGACCAGGGTGTAATACATTTATTCAACAACTCCACTCGTGAGACTTGTCTGGATGCTTTTTCTAGAAAAACCTAAATTTGATGTTAAATTGAGCTACTATACTCAATTATTAGGACAAGCAGACTGTGATTGATTGACTAAATTATGTTTAGTCCCCCATATTATTACATTTACAACATGTTTATATCACTATCAGTTGAATAATATCTGCCGTGACTATGGCTATTCATTTTGATTTAGTCAGGAATTCTTGATAAGGTGTATTTTTATCTTTTGCTTTTAATTTATCCCAATCTAGATCAGTAATTGATATGTATTTTGTGGTCGATACGTTGTGTTTAATTTAAATTAGTGCCACCAAGGTTTATTCAATTTGCGATTGTATTACTTTCTACTTAGGTGTTAGGGGTAGTTCTCAATTCACATATTATGTGATCACTGAAGGGGGGGGGGGGGGGGGGTTTCTAGGTGGTATTACGCTTGTGTAACTTTACGGTAGCTATGTCAATGTGTAAAACAGAAAACAGATTACGAATTGGCCACAAAGAGATAACGTAAAACTTCTGTTTAATAATTTTAATATTCCTGGAAACCCGTAGCACAATGACGACCCTGGAATATGATTACAGTAACGGAACTCTGCACTCCATTAAAAGTGATGTGATGAGATACACGTGGTCTGTGTATTTCTTAGTGATTCTCTGTTCATCTCTTGTCGGGGACACATTCATTCTGATTATATCCGTCAAGTACAGGGCCATCCGACTTGACAAGGTCCTCGTAGCTATCATCCAACACATTGCTGTTTGTGATTTAATGATCTGTGTGGTATCCATACTTCCGAAGGTTACCTCCCTCATTGCTGATAGATGGTTGCTAGGCAACGTCCTGTGTACAGCGTGTTGTCTCAGTAGGTATTACTTGTATGGAGTCATCCTGTCTCTTGTTTGCGCTATGCCTTCGGTCCTGCTGCTTCTCCTCAAATATCCCCTCCAGTCGTCGACAGTAACGTTG